GCTGAGTATGATGACATTAACAGTGCTGAGTATGATGACATTAACAGTGCTGAGTATGATGACATTAACAGTGCTGAGTATGATGACATTAACAGTGCTGAGTATGATGACATTAACAGTGCTGAGTATGATGACATTAACAGTGCTGAGTATGATGACATTAACAGTGCTGAGTATGATGACATTAACAGTGCTGAGTATGATGACATTAACAGTGCTGAGTATGATGACATTAACAGTGCTGAGTATGATGACATTAACAGTGCTGAGTATGATGACATTAACAGTGCTGGGTATGATGACATTAACAGTGCTGGGTATGAGGATATAACAGTGCTGAGTATGATGACATTAACAGTGCTGAGTATGATGACATTAACAGTGCTGAGTATGATGACATTAACAGTGCTGAGTATGATGACATTAACAGTGCTGAGTATGATGACATTAACAGTGCTGAGTATGATGACATTAACAGTGCTGAGTATGATGACATTAACAGTGCTGAGTATGATGACATTAACAGTGCTGAGTATGATGACATTAACAGTGCTGAGTATGATGACATTAACAGTGCTGAGTATGATGACATTAACAGTGCTGAGTATGATGACATTAACAGTGCTGAGTATGATGACATTAACAGTGCTGAGTATGATGACATTAACAGTGCTGAGTATGATGACATTAACAGTGCTGAGTATGATGACATTAACAGTGCTGAGTATGATGACATTAACAGTGCTGAGTATGATGACATTAACAGTGCTGAGTATGATGACATTAACAGTGCTGAGTATGATGACATTAACAGTGCTGAGTATGATGACATTAACAGTGCTGAGTATGATGACATTAACAGTGCTGAGTATGATGACATTAACAGTGCTGAGTATGATGACATTAACAGTGCTGAGTATGATGACATTAACAGTGCTGAGTATGATGACATTAACAGTGCTGGGTATGATGACATTAACAGTGCTGGGTATGATGACATTAACAGTGCTGAGTATGAGGATATAACAGTGCTGAGTATGATGATATAAACAGTGCTGGGTATGAGGATATAACAGTGCTGGGTATGATGACATTAACAGTGCTGAGTATGAGGATATAACAGTGCTGAGTATGATGATATAAACAGTGCTGGGTATGAGGATATAACAGTGCTGGGTATGATGACATTAACAGTGCTGAGTATGAGGATATAACAGTGCTGAGTATGATGATATAAACAGTGCTGGGTATGAGGATATAACAGTGCTGGGTATGATGACATTAACAGTGCTGAGTATGATGACATTAACAGTGCTGAGTATGAGGATATAACAGTGCTGAGTATGATGATATTAACAGTGCTGGGTATGAGGATATAACAGTGCTGGGTATGAGGATATAAACAGTGTTGGGTATGATGACATTAACAGTGCTGGGTATGATGACATTAACAGTGCTGAGTATGATGACATTAACAGTGCTGAGTATGATGATATTAACAGTGCTGGGTATAATGATATAAACAGTGCTGGGTATTATGATATTAACAGTGCTGAGTATGATGACATTAACAGTGCTGGGTTTGATGACATTAACAGTGCTGAGTATGATGGCATTAACAGTGCTGAGTATGATGATATTAACAGTGCTGAGTATGATGATAGTGCGGGGTATGAGGATATAGATATAAACAGTGCTGGGTATGATGATATTAACAGTGCTTGGTATGATGATATAAACAGTGCTGGGTATGATGACATTAACAGTGCTGGGTATGATGATATAACAGCGCTGGGTATGATGACATAAACAGAGTTCAGCTTCATGACATTAGAGTATGATGATATAACAGTGCGGGGTATGAGGATATAACAGTGCTGAGTATGCTGATATAAACAGTGCTGGGTATGAGGATATAAACAGTGCTGGGTATGATGATATTAACAGAGCTGGGTATGATGACATTAACAGTGCTGAGTATGAGGATATAACAGCGCTGGGTATGATGACATAAACATAGTTCAGCTTCATGCCATTAGAGTATGATGATATAACAGTGCTGGGTATGAGGATAGAACAGTGCTGAGTATGATGATATAAACAGTGTTGAGTTTGATGCTATTAACAGTGCTGAGTATGATGATATAAACAGTGCTTGGTATGAGGATATAACAGTGCTGAGTATGCTGATATAAACAGTGCTGGGTATGAGGATATAAACAGAGGTCAGCTTCATGACATTAGAGTATGATGATATAACAGTGCGGGGTATGAGGATATAACAGTGCTGAGTATGCTGATATAAACAGTGCTGGGTATGAGGATATAAACAGTGCTGGGTATGATGATATTAACAGTGCTTAGTATGATGATATAAACAGTGCTGGGTATGATGATATTAACAGAGCTGGGTATGATGACATTAACAGTGCTGAGTATGATGATATAAACAGTGTTGAGTTTGATGATATTAACAGTGCTAAGTATGATGATATAAACAGTGCTGGGTATGAGGATATAACAGTGCTGAGTATGAGGATATAACAGTGCTGAGTATGATGATATTAACAGTGCTGGGTATGATGACATTAACAGTGCTGAGTATGATGGCATTAACAGTGCTGAGTATGATGACATTAACAGTGCTGGGTATGATGACATTAACAGCGTTGAGTATGATGATATAAACAGTGTTGAGTTTGATGATATTAACAGTGCTGAGTATGATGATATAAACAGTGCTGGGTATGAGGATATAACAGTGCTGAGTATGATGATATAAACAGTGCTGGGTATGAGGATATAACAGTGCTGAGTATGAGGATATAAACAGAGTTCAGCTTCATGACATTAGAGTATGATGATATAAACAGTGCTGAGTATGATGACATTAACAGTGCTGGGTATGATGACATTAACAGCGTTGAGTATGATGATATAAACAGTGTTGAGTTTGATGATATTAACAGTGCTGAGTATGATGATATAAACAGTGCTGGGTATGAGGATATAACAGTGCTGAGTATGATGATATAAACAGTGCTGGGTATGAGGATATAACAGTGCTGAGTATGAGGATATAAACAGAGTTCAGCTTCATGACATTAGAGTATGATGATATAAACAGTGCTGAGTATGATGACATTAACAGTGCTGGGTATGATGACATTAACAGCGTTGAGTATGATGATATAAACAGTGTTGAGTTTGATGATATTAACAGTGCTGAGTATGATGATATAAACAGTGCTGGGTATGAGGATATAACAGTGCTGAGTATGATGATATAAACAGTGCTGGGTATGAGGATATAACAGTGCTGAGTATGAGGATATAAACAGAGTTCAGCTTCATGACATTAGAGTATGATTATATAAACAGTGTTGAGTTTGAGGATATTAACAGTGCTGAGTATGATGATATAAACAGTGCTGGGTATGAGGATATACCAGTGCTGAGTATGATGATATAAACAGTGTATGAGGATATAACAGTGCTGAGTATGAGGATATAAACAGAGTTCAGCTTCATGAAATTAGAGTATGATTATATAAACAGTGTTGAGTTTGAGGATATTAACAGTGCTGAGTATGATGATATCTGAGTATGATGACATTAACAGTGCTGGGTATGATGACATTAACAGCGTTGAGTATGATGATATAAACAGTGTTGAGTTTGATGATATTAACAGGGTTGAGCCTGATTATATTAACAGTGTTGAGTATGATGATTTTTGCAGAGTTAAGCGTGATTATATTTACAGTGTTGAGTATGATGGGTGATATTGTCACGCACGACAGGTCATCACCTTCGGGCGAGTCGACCTGCTCACCGAGCATACGGAGAAGTCGGCTCGGCCACTTTACAAGTGCATTTTCACAACATTAACAGAGTTGAGTCTGATTATATTAAGAGAGTTAAGCTTGAAGATATTAACACAGTTAAGTGTGATGATATCAACAGAGTTGAGATTGATGATATTAACGGAGTTAAGCTTGAATATATTAACAGGTTTAAGTGTGATGATATTAACAGAGTTGAGATTGATGATATTAACAGAGTTGAGATTGATGATATTACCAGAGTTGAGATTGATGATATTACCAGAGTTAAGATTGAACATATTAACCGAGTTAAGCTTGAATATATTAACAGGTTTAAGTGTGATGATATTAACAGAGTTGAGATTGATGATATTAACAGTGTTGAGCCTGATGATATTAACACAGTTAAGTGTGATGATATCAACAGAGTTAAACTTGATGATATTAACAGGGTTGAGCCTGATGATATTAAGAGGGTTGAGCCTGATGATATTAACAGAGTTAAACTTGATGATATTAACAGAGTTAAACTTGATGATATTAACAGGGTTGCGCCTGATGATATTAACAGGGTTGAGCCTGATAATATTAACAGAGTTACACTTGATGATATTAACAGAGTTGAGTATGTTGATATTAACAGGGTTGAGCCTGATGATATAAATGACTGAGTTTGTGTAATGATGTTAAGTTTATACAGCACATACATATTAAACCAAATTGCGATGAATTATCTCGAATTTTTTCTGTCATCTTGTGCTCAGTTTATATTGTTATTATTTCGTTAAATAAATCATTGATATTATTACTCTCTGATCTGGTAATTCATATCTGTGTACCGAATAACGCTTTAACTACGGCCTATATAACAATACAATATCCGTGTATATTGTATCAGCGATGATAAAAAATAATTCTGTTGATCAAGCAGAACAAAGAATCACAAGTGTAATTTCGTATCAGAGACTGCGTTTATCTCAAGCCTGTACATAATTTATTAGCGGCGCTTTTTATTGGAACCGACCAGAATATTTTATTGTTCAGCTGTCAATATCTCATTTATATTGCTGGTGTCACCACTGGATACTATGTAGACAACCGTGTGTCTTTTTCTACAGATAAAATCTATAACATCAGCATCAGTGTCAGACCTTGTGTAGTAACGGTGTCTAAGCTCGCTGACGAAATGATGGTACAGCGTAACTGCCCGACTTCGATCCTGTAATGCTGTTTCAAATAACACCGTTTCTCCTTTTGGCTCTACCTTTATGTAAGTATATTCTTCGAAGTTGAAAAAAATCAATTTTTAATTGCCAATACACTCAAGCAAGCAAGCATAGACACAAATACACACACTATCAAATTGGGAAGAAATACCATGTTCTATTAATTTCGTAGACTGCCATGCTATAATAGTAATGTAGACTGTATAATATAATATAATATAATAATAATAATGTAGAGAGAAATGGTATACTAAATATGTAGACTGTTATTTTATAGTAATTATGTAGACTGTCATGTTATAATACGTATATAGACTTTCATGTTATAGTACTTATGTAGACTGTCATGTAATAGTAAATATGTAGACTGTCATGTTATAATACGTATATAGACTTTCATGTTATAGTAATTATGTAGACTGTCATGTTATAATACTTATATAGACTTTCATGTTATAGTAATTATGTAGACTGTCATGTTATAATACTTATATAGACTTTCATGTTATAGTATTTATGTAGACTGTCATGTTATAGTAAATATGTAGACTGTTATTTTATAGTAATAATATAGAATATCATGTTATAATACGTATATAGAATTTCATGTTATAGTACTTATGTAGACTGTCATGTTGTAGTAATTATGTAGACTGTCATGTTATAGTAAATATGTACACTGTCATGTTATAGTAATTATGTAGACTGTCATGTTATAGTAATTATTCAGACTGTCATGTTATAGTAATTATGTAGACTGTCATGTTGTAGTAATTATTTAGACTGTCATGTTGTAGTAATTATGTAGAGTGTCATGTTATAGTAATTATGTAGACTGTCATGTTATAGTAATTATGTAGACTGTCATGTTATAATACTTATTTAGACTTTCATGTTATAGTATTTATGTAGACTGTCATGTTATAGGAAATATGTAGACTGTCATGTTATAGTAATTATGTAGACTGTCATGTTGTAGTAATTATGTAGACTGTCATGTTATAGTAATTATGAACACTGTCTTTTTGTAGTAATTATGTAGACTGTCATGTTGTAGTAATTATGTAGACTGTCATGTTGTAGTAATTATGTAGACTGTCATGTTATAGTAATTATGTAGACTGTAATGTTGTAGTTATTATTCAGACTGTCATGTTGTAGTAATTATGTAGACTGTCATGTTATAGTAATTATGCAGACTGTCATGTTGTAGTAATTATGTAGACTGTCATTGTATAATAATTATATAGAATGTCATGTTATAGTAATTATGTAGACTGTCATGTTATAGTAATTATGTCGACTGTCATGTTGTTGTAAATATAGAGACTGTCATGTTATAGTAATTATATAGACTGTCATGTTATAGTGATTATGTAGACTGTCATGTTATAGTAATTGTATAGACTGTCATGTTATAGTAATTGTATAGACTGTCATGTTATAGTAATTATCTAGACTGTCATGTTGTAGTAATTGTATAGACTGTCATGTTATAGTAACTATGTAGACTGTCATGTTATTGTAAATATATAGACTGTCATGTCATAGTAATTATGTAGACTGTCATGTTATAGTAACTATGTAGACTGTCATGTTGTTGTAAATATATAGACTGTCATGTTGTAGTAATTATGTAGACTGTCATGTTGTAGTAATTGTATAGACTGTCATGTTATAGTAACTATGTAGACTGTCATGTTGTTGTAAATATATAGACTGTCATGTTATAGTAATTATGTAGACTGTCATGTTGTAGTAATTATGTAGACTGTCATGTTATAGTAATTATGTAAACTGTCATGTTGT